AAGGAACATATACTTACAAGTGTCTTTAAGATAGAATGATTTATATTCCTTTGGGCATATACCCAGTAATGGGGTTGCTGTGTTGAATGGTAGTTCTGTTTTAAGTATTTGAGGAATCACCACACTGTTTTCAACAATGGTTGAACTAACTTATACTTCCGCCAACAGTATGTAAGCATTCCCTTTTGTCTGCAATCTTGCCAGCACCTGTTATTTTTTGGATTTTTCCATTCTGACTAGTGTGTGATGTTATCTCATCGTGGTTTTGATTTGCATTTCTCTAATGATCAGTGATGTTGAGCTTTTTTTCATGTTAGTTGGGTGCATGTATGTCTCCTTTTGAGAAGTGTCTGTTCAGGTCCTTTACCCACTTTTTAATTGGGTTAGTTTTTTTTCTTGTAAATTTATTTAAATACCTTACAGATGTTTGATATTAGATGTTTGTCAGATGCATCATTTGCAAACTTTTCTCCCATTTTGTAGGTTGTCTGTTTACTCTGTTGATAGTTTCTTTTGCTGTGGTGAAGTTCTTTAGTTTAATTAGATCCCATTTGTAAATTTTTGCTTTTGTTGCAGTTGCTTTTGGCATCCTGAAATATCTGCCTATTCCTATGTCCAGAATGGTTTTGCCTAGGTTGTCTTGCAGGGTTTTTTGAGTTCCTTGTGTATTCTTGATATTAATATTTTGTCATAGTTTGTAAATATTTTCTCCCATTCTGCAGGTTATTTCTTTACTCTGTTGATTATTTCTTTTGCTGTGTAGAAGGTTTTTGTTTGATATAATTCTATTTGTCTACTTTTTGGTTTTGTTGTCTGTGCTTTTGAGGCCTCATCCATAAAAATCTTTGCCCAGACCAATGTCTGTAAGCATTTCTCCTGTTTTCTTCTAGGAGTTTCACAGTTTCTGGTCTTAAATTTAAGCCTTTACTCCATTTTGAGTTGATTTTTGCTTATGGTGAAAGATAAGAGTCTGTTTTTATTCTTTCGCATGTGGATGTCATCATGAGGTTAGCTGGTTATTATGCAGACTTTTTTGTGTGGTTGCTTTATAGTATCACTGGTCTGTGTACTTAAGTGTGTTTTTGTAGTGGTCGGTAGTGGTCTTTCCTTTCCATATTCACTGCTTCCTTTAAGAGCTTTTATAAGCCAGGTCTGCTAAGAATTCCCTGAGCATTTGCTTGTCTGAAAAGGGTCTTATTTCTTTTTTGCTTAGTTTGGCCAGATATGAAATTCTGGATTGGAATTTCTTTTCTTTAAGAACATTGAATATTAACCCCCAATCTCTTCTGGCCTTTAGGGTTTCTGGTAAGAGGTCTGTTAGTCTTATGGGCTTCCCTTTGTATGTGACCTGACCTTCCTCTCTAGCTGCCTTTAACGTTTTTCCTTTTATTTCAACCTTGGAGGATCTGATGATTATGTGTCTTGGGGATGATCTTCTTGTGAAGTATCTTACTGGGGTTCTCTGCATTTCCTGAATTTGAATGTTGGCCTCTCTTGCTAGGTTGGGGAGATTCTCGTAGATGATATCTTGAAATATGTGTTCCAGGTTACTTCCAGTCTCCCCATCTGTTTCAGGGACACCAATGAGTAATGGATTTGTTCTCTTTACTTAATCTCATATTTCTCAGAGATTTTGTTCATTCTTTTTCATACTTTTTCCTTTATTCTTGTCTGACTTACTTCAGGAAGCCAGTCTCCAAGCTCTGGGATTCTTTCCTAAGCTTGATCTATTCTGCTATTAATAGTTGCAGTTGCATTATGAAATTGTTGTAGTGTGTTTTCAGCTCTGTCAGGTCGGCTGCATTCTTTTCTGTACTGGCTATTTTGTCTTTCAGCTCCTGTATCATTTGGATCTTCCTTGGATTGGGTTTCAACATATTCCTGCATCTCAATAACCTTTGTTTCTATCCATATTCTCAATTCTATTTCTATAATTTCAGCCATCTCAGTCCAGTTCAGAACCCTTGCAGGAGAAGTAGTGCCGTCATTTTGAGGAAAGAAGGTACTCTGGCTTTTTGAGTTGTTAGAGTTCTTGTGCTTATTCTTTCTCATCTTTGTGGGCTTATGTTCCTTCAATCTTTGATGTTGCTGATCTTTGGATTTTTTTTTCTTTTATCCTATTTGTTGACCTTGAGAGTTTGATTGTGGTATAAGGTGGGTTCAGTCAACTGGCTTCATTTCTGGAAGATTTTAGGGGGCCAAACCTCAGCTCCCAACTTCTGGACTTCATGCTCTAAATCTGGGGGACTTGTATCCAGCCCCAACATTGTTCTCTGACTCGTCGAGGGTAGGAACCCACTGTGCTGGTGGGGCCTACATATTCCTGGACCACTGGTCATTACACTTCAGTGGGTGGTACTAGCCAAAGTGTTTCGTAAGGCAGCAGCAGTGGGATTTGTCCTTGTTTGCATGTATTAGCAGCAGCAGCAGCAGCAGCAGCAGCACGGTGGGGTACGCACTCATCAACTGCAGCAAGGTGCTAGCAGGTGCCTGCGTCCCTGCAGGCATTCACAGCGGCAGCAGAGGCATTATTGCTTTGAGGGACACAGGGCCCCTGCTGCTGGCGACTGTGTCCATGGTGATGCTGGTGGTGGTGTTAGCATGGGGGTCTGGTGCTGGCAGGTGCAGGTCTGTGTCTGCCCTCTGTGCATGATCACTCAGGTGGGGGTGGCTGCTCAGGGTAGGGGAGGTTCATTGTTCTCCCTTCCTAGTTTTACTCTTGCAGCAGTGTTGGTGCAGGGATGGGGCTCTAGAGCTGGTGGGGCTGGCAGGGTTCAGTGGGGCGAGGGAGCAGACAGGCTGGTGCTTGGCTGTGAGCACTACTTTCCAACCTGAAATCTCATGAGAACTTATTTACTATCATGAGAACAGCACAGGAAAAGCCATCCCCATGAGTCAGTTACCTCCCACCAGATCTCTCCCAAGACCTGTGAGGATTATGGGAGCTACATTTCTAGATGAGATTTGGATGGGGACACAGCCACCCAAGATGAGATTTGGGTGGGGACACAGCCAAACCATATCACTACCTACCACAATACCTGGCATATGATAGATGCTCAATAAATGTTTGTTGAATAAATCATTTTTTAAAAAAATTGACCAATGGTAGTGCTAGTCTTTCCATGGTTATATTTGTTAGGAAAAAAAACTTTCGTTTGATTAGTAAGTGATACATGGAGATTTGGAAGGAAGGAGAGAGAAAGAGAAAGAAAAAACAGTAAACCATTAGAAAAAACAAATGTACACACACATTAAGTGACACAACTTTTATTTTTATTTATTTATTTATTTATTTATTTATTTATTGGATGGTGATTTAAATGGGTGGGGACTTCAATGGGAATTTTTCCTGGCGACAAGATTTGTTCTTACTCTTGTTGAATTAGAAAAATTTTTTAGCTTCAATATTATGATAAATTGGATATGTAAATGTCATTGCTTATAGCTTAGTATTTTAGTCTTCCACAAATTGATGCCTGTGGTATCTGGACATTCCTTGGCCTGTTCTTGTAAATAAGGAGATAGTGATGTTTAAGGAATAGCACTGTGGCCAGAAAAGCAAAAAACAAACAAACAAACAAACCAAAAAACCAAAAAGACCAGGCGTGGTGTCTCACGCCTGTAATTCTAGTGCTTTGGGAAGCCGAGGTGTGCGGATCATTTGAGGTCAGGAATTCAAGACCAGCCTGGCCAACATAGTGAAACCCCATCTCTACTAAAAATACAAAAAATTAGCTGGGCGTGGTGGCAGGCGCCTGTAATCCCAGCTACTCGGGAGGCCAAGGCAGGAGAATTGCTTCAACCTGGGAGGCGGAGGTTGCAGTGAGCCGAGATCACGCCATTGCACTCCAGCCCGGATGACAGTGCAAGACTCCGTCTCAAAAAAAAAAAAAAAAAATTCTGTATTTTCCAAGGTAAACAATATAAATGGGGCTCAGGAATACCCCATTAGATTAAAAAAAAAAATCTCCTAGAGAGAAAACCCTTGAGCCTACAAACTAAAGACTTTCAATATAATTTTAAATAAAGTCTTTTATGTAGTATGAGTGCGTTTTTTAGTTGATAATCAATTGGCACTATTATGTAGGCTTACTAGATTTGCAAATTTACAAGTTTTTACAAGTCAGTTGGGTCCCTTCCTCAGGAAATCAGTTTAAGGTTTTTTTTTCCTATATTGACTCAAAGAGCCTAGTTGTCCTTAAATCCTGTGAATATATTTGCCTTATAATTTGACGGCATTGAATAAACACCCTTATAGGGTCTGTAGTGTTGTAAAAAGAGAAACTGTTAAATAAAGGATCACATTTGGAAAAATAGACTGTGCTGGATAAAACCAGTATTGCATGTGAGTACTGTGGTTTGCTTTAAAGCACCTACAACTATTCAAGGAAATATATCCTTGCCCCTTACTCTCAAAATGGATACTCTAGATGGAAAACAACTGAACTACGTCTTTGTGAAATTAAACTATGGCTATAAATTAATATAAACACCCAATGTAATATTGATCTCTTAAGCAGAAAGTTATGTATTTGTGCTAACATTCAAACTTATAGAGATTACAGAGCTAACTATTAATTATTAAAGTAATTAAACTGTTTCAAGCCAAATATGCTTGGGTAAGTACAACTTGCCTTCAATTAATCACCATGTTTAAAGGTACTATATTAAGTAGATCTTTTTTGCGCATCATCACTGTGCCTGAACTTATACAGATGATAATAATAATGATAGCTCACATTTTTTTTAGCACTTATTTGCTGGTCATTGTGCATTATATATAGATTAATTATCAAATAACTCTACAAAATAGTTATATTTATTATTCCCAGTTTATAGATGTGGAAACTCAGTCATAAAGAGGTTTAATAAATTGTCCAAGCTTGCACAGCTAGTGTCTAAACTGGAATATAATATTGGAAAGCAAGTCAAGCATGTTAAAAATGTATTGATAGACTCTAATATTGAATTGTTTTCTCTCTTTAACACCTTTCTAGTTGATTTGGAGCATATGAGAACAATAAAACCTGAAAAACACTTACGGTTTTGCCAGGAAAATGGTTTTAGTAGCCACTTTGTCTCAGCCAAGACAGGAGACTCTGTAAGTAAAATAATGAATACTGTATATTATAAGTGATGTTTTACTTTTATTTACTAACATTCCTAGGAAGTATGCTTCCATTATTTAACCTTTGGAGCAAATTAATTCCTATTGAAAACATGAAATTCCTTAGATTAGTTATAACATGTTTATTCTGGTTATATTACTTTTATAATTTATTTAACATAATTTTATGGTTATTTTTAAAAAGGGAATTAAAATGAATATAAACCACCCATAATGTCATTATCTAGAGGTAACCACTCATAACCTCGTATGATTCCATCTAGTCTCTTTTCCTGATGCTCATACTAGTACTGTTGCCTGTGGCTAGGAGATGGCATTCATTGAGTGCTTACTTTATTATAGACATTGTACTACTCTGATTATCTCCGTTTTATAGAGGAGTCTTAGAGAAATTATGTAATGGGGTCCAGATTACACAGCTAATAAGTGGAGGAGAGAGGATTTGTAAAGGCAAATAGTGACACTCTGGGACTCACAGTCTTAACCACAAGCCTGTATTTATTTTTAAAAATTACGATTATAATATAGAAATAATTTTATATTTTACTTTTTACTTCATATTTTTATTGTTTCCATGTCATTTAATAATAGATTGAATAATTCATTTAATAAATGTTCAAAAATTTATTCAGTCTTATTCTTATTGTGGAACATACAGGTTGTTAAGTTTTGAACATAATGTTCTAATGTAAAATTTTGTCCATAAGTTTTTGATGTTTTGGTTATTTTCTTCAGGTAGAAAGATTCCTTGAAAGGGGGTTGAAACATTGCCAAATCACCAGCAGAAAGACTAAATTCATACTATCACCAGCATTGTATGATTGCCATAACTACATCCTTTTAACATTCAGGATTTATTTATGTATTTATTTTAAAATCTTTGTCAAATTGGTAGGCCCCCCCAAAAGAAAAAAGATACTTCACTATTTAAATTTGAATTTCTTTGATTATAATTGAGGTTGAAATTTTGAAAGTTTTATTATTCACTTTCTGCTTTTTACTTGTTATAATTTTCTATTGCATTAGAAATTTTCTATGACCATCTTTATGTTAGTGCTAATAGTCATGTGTCACAGTTTTTTCAAATAATCCTCACCGACCCCCATTTGACTATTTTTCCAGTTGACATTTTTCAACTAAAAGAAGTTTGAAATTTTTCTGTGGTTTAATATTTTTGATGTTTTTCTCTGTAATATCCTTTATAGTTTTATACCTAAAATAAATATTAAATAATATGACTGGGGTTTGATCTTTCTTTTGGTAAGACTCATTAAAAAATTTGGACTCTTGGAATCCTTTCGCCTCAGACAATGTGAATATGGGCACATATGCACCCATCCATGCCTTTGAAAAAAATGTAATGTCAATAATTGTAGATAAATTCATCCATGGATTCACTGGGCTTCTGCCCTCGCTTAATCTTCCCAGGGGTCTTTTTGCTATTTCAGAATTATTTTAACTTGTAGTATTTTCACTTGTTTTTAACCACTTAGTATTTTTTTGCCACTTAGTGTTTTTTTGTGTGCTTATATTGAACCACTATTAAAAAACTTCATTTTTTTTTAAGTGATACTTTGAAATGGTTTGTTCTTATGAAATTACTTTAAGACTTGTAATCATCTCTAGCTCCAGGTAACTTCCTCTCATTGTTTGAGGAGTTGAGCTCCTGGCTTACTATTCTTTCTCTGATATTACCTATGTCATAATTCTTAGTGATTTCAGTATCCTTGTTTCTTCCTGACTCCACCTTAGTCACTCTCGCATACCACGGATCACGTCATTACAAATTACTGTGGCTCTTCTATTACCTCAGTATCAGGCATCCTAATCACTAACCACCAACCATCTTCTGTTTCACATCCTTGAATGTCCTAACACAACCATTCTCAACCCTAGCAAGACCTACAAGACATTGATCCTAACACCTTTGCAAAATCTTAACCTCTTTCATGTCTTCATTTTTCTCTCTTCTGAACTTAAATCTCATGGCCAGTCCAAATCATTGCCATGCACATACTCTCAATTCCCTTTTTCCTCTTTCACTTTGTCAGACCTGCTTGGCTAAATCTTAATTCTGGTTTAAACCAAGCCTCTGCTTTTTCATGGGTATGCTCATGAACATGACCAGAGAAAAGCACAGAGGTATGCTGGAGGTTTCACTTGAAGTTCACAATCCCTAATCTCAAGTGGGCCCTTAATGCTGCTCAGTAATTATGCCCTATATCCCTAGTCTACCACCTCTTCCCTCAGCTAGGTGACTTTTTTTTTTTTTGAGACAGAGTATCACTTTGTCGTCTGGGCTGGAGTGCAGTGGCGTGATCTCAGCTAACTGCAGCCTCCGCCTCCTGGGCTCAACCAATTCTCTGCCTCAGCCTCCCAAGTAGCTGGGATTACAGGTGCCCACCACCACGCCCGGCTAATTTTTTGTATTTTTAGTAGAGCTGGGGTTTCACCATCCTGGCCAGGCTGATCTTGAACTCCTGATCTCGTGATCCACCTGCCTCAGCCTCCCAAAGTGTTGGGATTACAGGCGTGAGCCACTGTGCCCAGTCAATGACTATTTCATAGCTTCTCTTCTCTCTTCAGAAGTGTTCAAACTATCCTCCTCTATTCTATCAGCTGATGACCTTGTTTCCTATTTTATAAGAAATTTGAAACAAACAGAAGACAACTTCTACATACTGATGCTACCAGGTCTAACGTCATCCTACTTACCCCATCTGTTCTCATATCTTCTGTCTTCTCTGTGGTTACTATGGGATCTATTCTAGCTAGGGCCAACTTCTCCATTGTGTGCTAGTCCCATTTATCTTTGCTGAATCAAGGATATTGCTTTAGCAGTTCTGTTTCATATGTTTTATTTTTTTTCCATCTACTGGATTATTCTTTCAGCATACAACATATTATGACTCCTTTTATCTTAAAAACAAGAAAGCTCTTGATGCCACATTTTTTCTCTAGCTGTTGCCTCATTTCCTTCCTTCACTTTCCAGTATATGTTTTGAAAGAGTTGTCTCTAGTTCTTCTTTTCCCAATTTCTCTTCTAGTTCCAGCAGACTTTTGCCCTCAGTATTTTACCCAAACTGCTATTATCCAGGTCATCAATGGCCTCCTTTTTGCTGAATCCAATGATCAGTACTCAGCCGTCATCTTACTTGACTAAGTAGCAACATAAATAATTGCTGATCACTCTCTCCTCTTTGAAATACTCTCTGCACTTAGCTTCCAGGATACAATGCCTCCTGTTTTTTTTTTCTACTTCACTAACTACTCTGTCAGTCCCCTTGACTAATTTTCTTACCTCTCCAACCAACTAAGGTTCAGTCCTTTGATATCTTTTTCTACATGTATTCCCATAATGGCTTTATTTAGTCTTCTGGCTTTGCTCAGACTTTTCCCCTGAACTCAAGACTCTTATATCCAACTGCCTGTGCAGCATCTCCACTTAGATGTCTAATAGGCTGCCCAATTTAACATGTTTAGAACTGAGCTCTTGATATTCCCTCCTAAAATCTCTCACAGTCTTCCCCACTTTAATAAATAGCAGATCTACCAGTTGCTCAGGCCAAAAAAATTTTGGAGCCTTTCTTGACTCCTCTTTTTCTCTCATACCCCACATCTGTCACCAAATCCCATTGGCTATACTTTGAAAATATATCCAGAACCTGCTGACTATTTGTTACTGTGTCCACTCCTACCACTTTTGTTCAGCCTCCATAATCTTTTACATTAGTGTCTTTGCTGATTCTCTTTTTGTACACTTGGTCTCCTATAGTGAATGTTAATACAAACAACCAGACTAATGCTGTTAAAATAAAAGTCACATTGGGCCACCCTCCCATGCCTTCCATTCATTTGGAATAAATGTCAAAGTCCTTCCAGTAGCCTACCAGATTCTACATGCTTTGCAGTCCTCATCTCTTTGCTCATCTTCTTTTAGAACCACTCTTTCTCTCCACTCCACCACAGTACTTTTCCTATTGTTCCTTGAACATTGACCATCAATGAACTAAAATATATTATGCTTCTTAGGGTACAAATGGCATAAGGCTATCAGAAATATGTATCCATTTTTTGTTAGAAATAAAAATTAACAAAGTTTTGATAAATATTCTGTAAGCATGTGATGAGTAGGGATAACAATATGGTAGGACATTTATGAAGAAAAGATAGTTATACTACACTAAATATCAGGATTGGAACTCTAGTAATTATAGTAGACCTGACATAAGCTAGCTATGTGTGGAAAGGCTATTTATAGAAAAATATTTGTCTGTTTTTGTTTAATCGTAATGGCATATATTTTTCCTTTGAACTGATAAAATATAGTAAATAGTACCAAGTTGCTTTACTCAAGATACATGGAGAATTTGTTGGAATGATGTGAAAGTCACAGAGAGTATTAAAGTGTTAGAAAGTAAGACCTTTTAAGATAGGCCACAGGCGGCTAAAAGGACCAAGATAAAATTGGCAATGAAAAGTAGGGTGGTAAAGTATAGATTATTTTTATTTTCTTCAGTAAGTATGGGAGTTTTTATACTAGTAAGTAAGATTGTTTTGTTGTTTTTTAAAGTGGTAGCTGTAATCATCATGTTAAATCTTTAATGTGTGTGTTTAGAGAAAATTCATTGAATTGGATAGAGTTTTGAATTATGGCTTAATAATTTAAAAAGTATTATATTTAAAATGTTGCTACATTTGACAAAGGTATTTTTGGAATCACCTGCTATATCATATTTTTGCAATTATTGCTGTTTATCATTTTTTAAAAAATTCTGTTTATTTAAAGAGAACTTAAGCATGACTCTTTTATATAATTTAAACCCATTTTTGTTATGTAGGTCTTCCTGTGCTTTCAGAAAGTTGCTGCTGAAATCCTTGGGATCAAATTAAACAAAGCGGAAATAGAACAGTCACAGGTGATTACCTTGAACTTTATGTTTAAAAAATTAATGAATTTCTTACAAGGCATTAATTTTCACCCATAAATTCTTACCCATTTATGCCTTCTGTGTACGTGTCTCTAAAAGCTTTGGGAATAGATTGTATGTATGACTCAGTGTTTATTGCAGAAGATGGAGAATGTTAACTTTTTATGTTAACTTTTTACCAAATTATGATACCCTTGAAACCTCATTTTGTCTCTTTTGTTGGGAAAAAGATACTGGTATAAAAAAAATTTATTAGTGGTTAACTAATGAGTTTAGGTGCTGACCACATTGTTTGGTACTTCTTTATTTAAATCCTTATGGAGCGTCTATTCAATTTTAAAACATCCTTGACTGTAATGATATTAGTTTTTGATGTTGTTTTGTTGTCAGTTTAGTTGTGTTATTAATTAGTAAGGATTTCTAAGTTTTTTCACTATTCCTAGATAGTTCTGTTAGACTAAGAAAAAAACATGCATATCAGTAGCCAAGAACTTTAAAGTACCACTATAATTTCCCACTAATTCATATGTCTGATAGAATGAAAAATCAGAGCAAGCGCCTAAAAAGTTATGCTTCAGAAGTGGTTTGGTTAGAAGTAACAAACTAATTACATTTTTCCTCAATTTCTTCCACCCCATTCGCACCCTGTGCAACTAAAAAAGTCTGATTATCTTTTCCCATCCTTAAATTTTTCTTTTATTCTTTTAGAGTTAGTTCTGTATCTTTTTCTCATGGTCCCTCTGTGTGTGTGTGTGTGTGTGTGTGTGTGTGTGTGTGTGTGTTTTAAAATGATTGAAGCAAATATTTGAAATTGTTATACTGATGTGGATGTTTCTAGGACTTGATTAAAATATTTGAAATGCTAAACATTTGCTAATTTTAATTCCCATCATTCAAAGACATTTGTTTTATTTAGCACTTGGTATGGCCAGATACAGTGCTAAGATACTTTGTGATGTTTAAATAGCTCCCAGACACATAAAAAGTGGTTACTTGGTTTGGATCTAGGAGAATATAAGAAAGAGAAGTCACCATGATTTGCTTGATCACACAGACCTTGGATCCCAGAGGTCAAGTAATTCCTTTGCTTTTTAGCTTCTCTGTCTAAATAATGTTTGTCTCTGCTTAATTAGACAGTCTGTGATTATCATAAGTGATTTATTCGTCATATGTTGTATACTCAGTATAGTGGTGGGTCTAAAAAAGAATTAAAAGACTTTAAAATGTCCCTGCTTTCAGTAAAGAAAATTAATAGGTTATGTGCCAGGGGGACTGTGTTATCTCAGTTAATCCTCATAACTCCCTGGATCAGGTAAAATTTTATCATTTTATGATCAGGAAGCTGAGACTGTGGAGAGATTCAGTAACTTGATCACTAACCCTTAGTTGGGCACTGGTGGAGCCAGAATTTGCACCCAGGTCTCTCTGACACCAGTGCCCTTGGTGTTTCCACTCTACTATACTGGGGGAAAGTGTACTGGGCAGTTTGGAGTGGGAAGGGAGAAAATGGCTGAAAGAGGAGCTGATATCAACAATATACCTGGGTAGAAAAGCTTAGGTTGTATTTTAGAAACAGAAGAGCAGTTTGGTTAAAATAAATGACCATTTGTGTCAGAGTATAAAGAGTTTGAGAACAGATTTTGGGGATTTATGAATGCCAAGTTGATTAATTTTATTTGACCTATAATCATTTCGAGGTAGGGCAATAAATGAAAGCAGTTTTTAGATAGAATTAATCTAATGGGATATTTTTGTATGTCATTGGATAGGAGGGAGATTGAAGTAAGGAGACTGAGTTACTGCTACCATGTGAAAATGGCCAAAGTCAAGGTGGAAGGGAAAGAGGGAACTGATAGGACTTGTGGAATTATTGGATAAGAGAGAATAGAAGTCCAAGATAATAACCCTGAGGTTTCTTGCTTGGAGGAATGAAGACAGGGGAAACCAATGATTGTGGTTTTTCTGAAAGAGGGAATGGTGGACTGGTGCTTCACAGGTGAGAGGGCCGCACTGAGGAAGAATTCCTTGTACTGCCTGAGCTGTGCAGCGGTGATCAGATACAAGGAGACCTCTGGAGAGATGAAACAACTGGAGGCAAAATTTGGGGACAGCTTTATTAATATTAGCTCCCTCGTGTTGCAAGATCAACAGAGTTACTATTTTGACTTTGGATATGGGCTTAATATCCTGGCGTATTTTAAATAAAGAGATATTAGATGTGTTAATTACATAATTCTCTACCCTCCCTGCACATCCACCTTGCTTATTATGCTTTGAGATTTAATTCTATCTTCAGTTTGTTGGTGGCATTTACTCTTAATGCATTCATTTGAAAGGGAATTCAAGTTACTGCAGCACTCTTCTATATGTTTGTCAAAATTCTTTGTATATAGCAAGAAGCCTCATTAGTCTTTCTTGATCCTGATGAATTTGGTGTTTTTGCCAATTAAATTATTGATTTTACAATTCAGATTTCTTAGTGGAAACATTTTTGCAAGTTCATCTAAAAGACTAGGAAGTGCAGATTATATATATATACACACACACATATATATACACACACACACACACATATATACACACACATATATATATACACACACACAGACATACATACATATATACACACACACACACACTGCATGTGGCTTTTGCGACATTTGAAAGATTACTGGGGGGATTCAAGGGAATCTTTGAAAGTACTTTATATTATTCTATAGAGAAGGAGTTAAATGGCAGACTCACCAGTCACATTGATGTTGATGCTCTACTATAATAATTTACTTTGCGACATAAGTGTTTACAATGAGGTTTTAGTCCTAGTTCCATTCACTGATTATTTAAAGAGATTCTGCTAGTTTATTTCTAACCTAGATTGCTCTTATTTGGGAGTTATATAAAATGAGTTATCAACACACTTTGTAAGCTTTGCGAGGAAAAGGAAGAGAGAGAAAAGAAAGTGAATGCAATTTATTAACACAGTAAACATATTTTGAGGGTCTGTGTAATGCCAGGGACCACAGTAGAATCTGGGGATACAGAAATGAATAAGAGAAAGTCCCTATCCTCAAGGAGCTCCCGGAATAAGTGCGGCAGCCAAACATTTAAACAGTGAACACTATAGGTCCCTTTTCCACAATTCCCAATTTAGTTAATAGTTTCATTTGCATCATTTATGTAGTCTTCCCCTTTCTCCCCGACCAACCATTATCCTCTAAGATATTGTAAGAATTGATACTGTTGTTAACAAGTGTTATAGTTTCCCAGATTGTTCAGATTTTTTATTTGCAAAGTGCCTAGACTTTTGGGAGAAAAAATAAATTTACAATTGCTGTTGTTTAGGAAATCCAGCCATCAGCTCTTTAAGAATGCATTAGATAATTGATAAAGAAAAAGCATAGTCCTTTTAGTCCTGTCTTGTGTCCTTCAGACTGAATTGCGAGGAAGTTTTGCCATATCTACTTGGTGTTAAGAGTTCTTAATACATTTTTAAGCCTCAACATTTTTACTTGCCAATTAATAAACTATGAATATCTACTTGATTTGAATTAGGAATGTATTAGTTTTTAAAATACCAAAAAAAATTTCTATCATGTCTGAGATATTCATTAAACTTGCTAAAAATATATATTCCTTATTGTCCCCTCAAACTATTTTCAGACTGTATCTGAAAGTATCTCACGTAGGGCTTGGCGTGTAATAGACATACTCAAGATTTTAATTATCTTAATTGGCATATTATTGTACAGTACCCTTTTAACCATTAAGAGTCCTTTCTGCTTTTTAGCTTTACCTGAATATTGATCTTCCTCAGATTCTTCTTACCCATGTGTTAATTTTTTATGATTATTTTCTCCAGTATGTTTATGAAAACTGTCCTGGGATTTCTTTCTTATCCTAAAGACCACTTGTTTTCTTGAGGAGCATATTTTCTCATTTTGTGCATACTACTCTAACCCTCAGATATTGAACGTTGCTTAATGGATTTTCATATCACATACTATTTTTTCTCTTTCCTATTCACCTTTTAAATTAATTTTTTAAGTAAAATTTCAAAACCAGATGGGACTTTAGAGATCATGTAGGTTTACTTTTTAACAGGTTGTATCCTATATCCATGCTTTAAATTGTATTCTGTAATCTTGTTGCACTTTGAATGTATACCAGTCAGAATATTCTGTAATAGTTTAAAATCTGCTTTGTATGCTAGACTCTTATTATCTCAAGAAACAGAGATTGTGCATTATTTACCTAAATGTCTGCAATATCTGGGACAGTGGTTGGCTTTGAATGAATGATAGTGACAAATGTTTTAGCCTTCAGGGTGTGTTTACTCCATATCCTGGGCATGACAAACTATGGTCTTTGCAGTGGTAAATATGTTCCTTATTATCTGGAGTAAGGTGCAATTGCACAGTTGATCAAGTTTATCTTTAGTTTAATCTCTCCGAGAGTCCATCTATACTCCTTACACCTTGTGCCCCAACCCATAGGTTGCTTTCTTGCTTATGCCCTCCATTGCTACCGCTTCCATTTCCAGTATCCACTTGGCAAATGCTCTTTGAAAATATCAGGGTTAAGCTTGTGTTCACTCATATAACTCTTTTCCTCTTAGGGCCACTTCATTATTTTCATTTCATCAACTAATAGCAGAGAATAATTGAGTGTACTTTGTGGCTCTAAAAATAAAGGTTGGTATTTTGTAGGTAACATTTTCTCTAAAAACATCAATAAATGACTTTTAAATAAGCTGACTACAGTGAAACCACCTACCGTGAAGTTTATGACATGGAAATTATGTTTTTCTAATCATAGAAAGTGAAATTTGGAATCTGCAGAGCCTTGGTTATGGGTTACAGTTCGGAAACACTTTACAAAGCTTTATGTCAAAGAGTCAAAGCCCCTGAGAGTGATGCTGCCTTGTTAATTCTTCATTAATTTGATGAAAATTAATAATGAAATCCAAGTCATTTACGTTAGTCAGTTCTTGGACCAAATTGTCTAGTGCACAGGACAGTAATCTGGTTGTGTTTCTAGGATAAGACTTAAACCAACATTTTGTTGGATTAACGAGTTGCTTACTGATTATGAAAATCCCATCTCTTCATTGTAACCCATAGTTTGGCATGAAACAATTAGGTTTGGGGAGGTTAGCTAATGGTATACAATATTTCACTGATGTACCCCCCACTCATACCTCATTTGGCAGTTGGTAATGCTTGTGTTGATAGCATCAGGCGGAATGCCTAGTAAATCATGAGTCTTGTCCAAAAGTTAATGCTGCTTGTTGCTAGAGAACTTAAGCAGAAGCCACCCAAGGCTAATATGTTCGTATGCCTCAGCATCCTATTCATTTACTCTCAATTGTTTATAGAATCTTTATTTATAAATGTAATCACAGATAGAAGCTCATATTAAGATGCCTTTCTGTCTATCTTAGTAAATTAATAGATGCTATTATGAAGGATGAGTGTCCTGAAATAAGATATTTGCAATCACATGGATAGCGAGGATAGTTTTAAATCTAAAATATTTGGGTAGCATGTTATATCTGTCATGCATATTTGTCACATGTGGTCTTTTTATCCTAAGGTAATAGCAATTACGAATATAACAAGGTAAAAACAAATCATTTCTTATTTAGTAAAACTCTTAGATATTTGAAAGCAGCAGTTGTTGTACTTAAATATTGTACCTCGTGAATTTTTTTTACATGACCTACAACTGCATTTTGAATTTGTTTGTTTCTGTATGGAATTTGGAAGTATGGAGGTTACGAGGAATGGGGGAGTGAGCATCACAAGGAAGTCTAGGACAAGTAATAAATAGTATTAAATATAAAAATTGTAAATGGCATATGGCTTCCTCTGATGTCTTCATTCCTCTCCCCACATTCAAAGAAATTAATTACTCCTTCCTCTGTGTTCCCACAGCATATTATAAGTCCACTAGTTAAGTGTTTAACTTGTATGGCAATTAGTTGTATATGTGTTTCTCTTTCCATTGGGTCCTCAGCAACTTGTGAATAGATTCTGTGTAAGTCGCCCATACATTCACAGTATAGAGTGACTGGCACGTAGTATATCTTCAGTAAATCTTGTTAATGGAAATTGAATTAATCCTTTTATTGCACTTTAACATAGAAAAACCTCATAATTCTTCATAGTCTTCTGAAATTCTGGGCATTATATATGTTATATATAATTGTGTTATCAAAAATGGAACTCACAATTTGGGAAGTTTAGTGGTTATATCTATTTCAGTAATTAAATAGAATTACAAAGAATAATGTTTCTTGGGCCTTTGTTCCTTTCCTTTTCTTTTGTATATGTACATTCTGCTGTTTGTGTGTGTGTGTGTGTGTGTGTGTGTGTGTATGAGAGAGAGAGACATGTTTACATTTATATGTTAATTTTATGTTTCTGCTTTGGTGTTTCGTTCTATATTCAGTCATTGAACATACTTTCCATTTTGTCTTTTTTTTTTTTAATTCTTTATTTTTTGTCTCATTTATGTTGTATGGAATTGACAGCATATTGTCAGGGCAGAAATAGTGAAGTACCCGGAAGAAGATAATCAACATACCAGCTCTGCTCAGAGTAGAATCTGTTCAATACAGTAGTGCAGGTATTAAGGGATAAATTATTACAGTTTGGGGAGGTGGGAAGGGAAAAACAGTGAATGCTATCTTGTTCTTTATTCCTTATGAATAGGGAAGTTCAGATGATTATTGTACATTATTGGAAATTAATAACGCGTCTAAGTCTTGATTTAGAACTAAAAAATTGGTCCTCTGCCAGGAGACATGAATTAAGAAATTGGGAACAAATTAAAATAACATTGCAGTTAGTTTTAAACATATTTGTCTTTATGGTTGTGTTTATTACATGTGCAGTGAAGTGGAGAATTGAGGCAGTTATTTCATTATTCATTCCTTACCATTTTTCCTGAAATAGCTTGGTAATTGAAAGAGTATTTTTAAAATTTGCCTTGAATTGCCCTTCTTTGTCTGCTTGTGTGTGCAGACTTTGTAGAGTTGAAAACAGTAAAGGATTTGTTTTAAAGTATTACTTAGAGATGAATATTAAGCATATTGCTAAATGTATCATTTTAGATATTCCTTGAAGTGTGTGTTAGAGGGAAGGAAGGAAGAGTTAAAAGTATCTTTTGGTTTAAATTATTTTACAAACGAATATGAAGTAATTTTCTAAATTTTTCATTATACTGTATTTTGTTACAGTTATATTCATAACCAATAGTGAGCCATTTGGAAATAAGTTAGGGATTTTGGAGGAAAGTTTTAGAAATTGGAAAAGATTTAAAAATGGGTTGCTCAGAATGTTTCTGCTTTATATGTGAATCCTCTTTAACATTTAAATGTCTTCTTACAAACTCAAACTGCTGTAAACATTCAATGAAAAGGTATCGCTAAATATAATGGCTTATGGAAATATTAATCAATAATGTTATTGTTTACTTTGAAATGATGAGTTCTTTTCTATGATTTAAAATACATGTGAATGATTCATTTAAATTATTTTGCTCTAAATTATTATCAGGGTTTAATTTTTCCTTATTGATTTGTCAGTTTTTCGTTAGACTTATGATAACCTCAAGTTAAATGTCATAAAACCAGGGACAACTCCATAGCTGAGTTGCCATTCTCTTCTTGAAAACAAAAAAACAAAAAACACTTTTCATTTGTTTGTCTGGCTTATTCTTTTAATATCAACTCCTGCTTCATTTGTGGTGTCCATCATCAGAAGCTCAGCAGAGTTCAGAAAATAAAAATATACTTTAAGGAGCTCTTTCTAAATGTTCTGATGTCCTGATAATAACTCTGTTTTCTTTTATAACAGAGGGTGGTGAAGGCAGATATTGTAAACTACAACCAGGAACCTATGTCAAGAACTGTTAACCCTCCTAGAAGCTCTATGTGTGCAGTTCAGTGAGCGCATTTTTCTTTTGTGTTGATAGTTCTGGCTGCCCTTCACCTCTGGGTGGGCCTGAGGACTTCTAGGAACTTGTTTTATCAGTGACCATCTCTGTAGTTCAGTTAACACTTTCCTCCCAACTTGCTTCATCATTGCTGTTGCCTCACAGTGGCAAGCCGCTCCTTGGATTTGAAAGAATTCAACTTTGGGACCACACACTTTGAATTCAAAATGGAAAACCCATTCCCTGGACTTAGACTGCTTCGTTGCAAAAGAATGATGTTGCTTCTTTGTGTGTCCTTGCTTCTTTTTTCAGTGATGTAAATTTTTTTAACTTAATATGAAAACTATCCAAGTCTTGATCATCAGCCAGGATTTTGCCACAGCAATTTCATTCTCCTATCGGAACCTGTATGTGTCAAAGTATACTTCAGAGTGCAAACATTAAGCAAGTAATATATTTTACCTACGGATACTTATGAAGACATTCTTTAGCTATCTATTGTGACTAAAAGTATATAAATCTGTATCTAACTGAAAATGCTTGAAATAAGGCTGTAGTAGAAATATTTTTTCATTTTTTAAAAAAGGGCCTAAATTGTTTATATTGTAGTTTGTAACTCACAAAGTAGTGAGTATTTGATATTGTATTTTTATTACTGTATCATTGTCGTTATGTATTGTGTAATACTCAGGTTTGAAGGCTTTCTGAATTTTGATAAATGTTCAGCTGATGCTCCACATGGAATTTCTCCTGCAAACTGCGTAAGAGTACTCCCGCAAATGAGTTACGACATTGTGGATCAGACTGTACCTGATGTTCAGATGTTTTTCTTTCATGAATAAATTTATTTAAATTACTTCTTTTGGCAATTTTCTTTCAAACGTCTTCCTTTTTGTTACAGAAAGGCAGTGTGTATTTGGATACAAAATTAGTGATTCTGGGAAGTTTAATGTATAGTCAGTCATTTAGAATTGTTAGGTTATTTTGTTGGACCAATTAAAATCCATACTCCATAGCTTGGCATTTCAGGGACTTCACATCAGCTGCCTCCTACCTTTCTACCTTTTCTCATGCCACTCCACTGTACCATCATCACTCCTCTGCAAACACAGCTATGGACTCATTCCTATTCGCTTTGTGATGCTCTGCTTTCCTGTTTTTGCTCCACAGGTCTCTCTGCTGGGAATTCCTCCTCCTTCTCCAAATGTCTGCCTCCTGCCAGCCAACCTTTAGGCACTGTGAGAGCAGGACTCTGTTTGTCTTGGTCATAGTTGTGTGGTTTTTGTGTGTGTGTGGTTTTTTTGTGTATGTGTGCTAAGATACAATGCCTGGCATGACTGGTGCTCCATATTTGCTACATTGAAGCATGAACAAAAGCCACCCCTCCACAAAGCCAGTCCTTGTCTCCACAGCTCACAGTTCCACATCACTACCTCTCTGATAGCCACTGCCCCTTTCTGCCTTGAATCACTGCTATTTGTGCCCCTGTTTTTTATTGTTTAATAATCCATGAGCTCATTGAAGGGTAGCTCTGGTCTCTTCTCTCTCATGTCTCTTACAGTGCCTGGCAGCATGCCTTTGTCATGGATTTGCCACAAGTGTTTGTAGAAATTTGGAAACCTAATTTTAGAGGTGTAAGGGATTTTGGAAAACTTTGTTCACTTCCTTATGTGGCTAAGGAAACTGAAGTGTGGACAGAAAAAGTAACTTGCCAGAAATCATGAAATCATAGAGCTAGACTTGGTAGATCTGTCTCTAGGCCGAGAAATTAAAAAAAAAAATTAATTAAAAAAAGATTTTGAAAACTCTACTTCTTAGTGGGTCCAGCCTCTTTCTACTTTGATTTTTATATTTTTCATTTTATAATTGGGCAGACTTTTAGACCCTTCAAGTGATAAACCCTTCAAGCCACTGCAGCTTATCTTCCTGATATGTGCGGGCCAGTTGACTAGGGATGTTAATAGAATATAAAGTTGAACAAATGAGCTCTCAACCCTCAGGACTTTACAGTCTAGTGGGAGGGATGTTTGTTGTTGTTGCTGCTATTTTAAAAGCTGTGATTGATTGAAGCCTTCTATTAAACTAAACTTGCCCAAGGCTTTACATTTAGTAAAAGGTGAGGCCATGATCTGTTTGGTCATTTTGTGTTGATTTCACCTCCATCTATGTGAAAACCGAAGGATTTAAAAAAAATTTTTTTCCTCCCAATACAATTACTGCAGTACGATAAAGTATGACTTAACACATATGTATGAAGGTCTACGAGACCAAATTTTTTTAGTGGTGTGTTTATAAACTTAGAGCACTGCGTGGAACTGAGCAGGGGCCAGGGAAGAAAATGATGTTAGTAGGCGTTCTTTGGCCTGGACATTTCTAGGCATTTGTTACATGGACTGTTTTATTTTCACACCTATCTGTGAGAGGGGAATTATTGCCTCCTCTCATAGAGGAAACCTAAGCTGAGACTAAGTGATTATACGAAAGGCCTTCCTTCAATAAGGGGTAGAGCCGGGGGCTACACAAAATGTTTCTGTGACAGAATGGACTATGCTGGTACTGGTTTTAGGCTGCCTTCCATTTGTGAAGGTCACATAACTCATGCCCTTCCTGAGAGTTAAATAGGTCTTAGTTTAAGCTGTTCTTTTGAGAAGTGGCGATGGGCCTGTGTGGTCCATCTGCCTGACTACCTTGAGCAGTAGCATGTGTCCACAGGGGCTGGTGGTGGGAAGTTTGCCCTCTGATGACTCAGATGAAACAGCAGTTTCCCCTCTGTACCCTCTTGCCTGCCTTCAGTCTCATTGGCGTTATGTCTTTCCCAGCTGAGCATGACTGGTCCTTGAGAGCCTTTTTTCTCAAGGAAAGCAGATGCAGTACAGCATATGGCCAAAGCGGATTTCTGAATTCCATATTACAATTTTCCCCATACCTCGGGTTTTATTTTTGAAACAGAAATGTAGGATTCATGCTTATTTTACTTTGTTACCTCTCCTGTCTATAGTTTTTAATTTAAAAAATTACAAGTCTTTCCATCTAGTTTTAGGTACTTTGTCTCCTGAAGACACATGCTATAGAGTTTCAAACACATTGTGGTCACTTCTGCTGCTTATTGGGCTTTTGAAAAACACAAAAGTCTTCAACCAGAACTGGTCATTGATGCTGCCTTTCAAGTGCACCCTCTATTATGTGTGGCGAACCACTCTGGAGTGGTTTTTGGAGTGGCCCACAGCACTCCTGTGACTCCTCTATTATTCCAGGAGGAGGTAAGCCAGGGCCCTTTAAAGTTGATCACTGAAACAATGTGATGGCGCAGAAGAGTTTGTGTGTCGTTTAAAAATAGAAGAGTTTTCTGGCCATAACCTGTGCTAGTGGTTGCTGTAATCTTGGATATCCTGAACAACAGTTGCAAGATTTAAAAGAAACTGAAATGCAGACCTGTTTAACATTATGGTAGAATCCATGGGTCACCTCCCCAGCACACATGTCGCCTCTCCAAACATTTTCCTAATTTCCTGATAGAGCCCTCCCCTCAATTTTCAACTGCTTCTAGCTCCTCATGAGTGGGTCCTCACTGAAATAAACCCATTAGGATATTAAACCCCCTCGCCCCAGTAGTCGGCTCTGAAATGAACTGATAACTCCATCATCGCTAATGAAATTGGAGGAGACATTTGCTAAGGTTTCTGAAAAAGGAAAGAATAAAGAAATATTTACCCCCGTAAGTTTTCAGAAGACTCTTTGCCAGCTGGACTGGAATGAGAAAGGGTGTGGCTCTGAGTGACACTGGCAGCCATCTTGAGGCCACAAGGGAGAGCTGGACCAAGGATGGTGCTGATGCCAAGAAAGCAGAGGTGGAAAGCGGCGATGATCCAAGTCCCTGTCACCATCTTTGAGCCCTGGATCCAGCCATGCCTTGAACTGTTCAGCAGAGAGTTATTATTATTTTTTTTAATCATTTAGACCAGTGTTATTTTATTTTTTGGTTACTTCTTATATTGACACCTATTATGTACTAGGGCCTTTGCTTGGTACCCAAAATAGAGATGAATATGATCTGTGTTTTGCCCACAAATTCATAGTCTAAGCATGTGGGTAACTCATCAAAATGTAATCTGATTGTCACATACTGCAATCAAACTAATACAAGATGTAACTTAGCAGTGAGTGTGGGAAAAAAACAGGAATTTCAAATAACAGGAAACAGGGATGACAGTGTAACACAGTTGCTCTCACAAGCTAGCATAATCTTAGCCTGCATTAATTAGGTGTGTGCATATGAATCCCCTGTGGATCTTGATTCAGTAGGTGTGGGGTGGGTCTGAGGTTGTGCATTTGTAACAGGCTCCCAAGTGATGCAAATGCTACTGGCTTTTGGATTACACTCTGAATTGCAAGGGATTAGACCATGCCTGTATGGATGCCCCTCTTTAAAAAGGGGATAATAAGTCACATTCGGATTACAGTGAAGGAATTCAATGTCAGGAAATAGTTGAAGGAAGACAGTATGTTTAATATGGAAAAGAGAAGGCCTCACACAGACTCTGCTGATAGTCTTCAAATAAGTAAGAGAGTGTGCTTTAGAAAAACATTATGTTTGTACTATAGGACCTAGAGTACCCCAGAAATAAGAGGGGTAGACAGAGGCTTTGGGAAGATTTCCATTCAGCCTAATAAAGAACCTTGAAAACATTTGCTTCCCAAAGATGGAAGAGATTGCTTTATGAGATTTCATATCATGTTGCAGGGTTGCAAACTTATAAGCCTTCTGGGGCTAGGTGGTAAATAAATATAACAGAGGTTAAGAGTATAAGACCATAGGGAGTGGTGGGGATTGACAAGGTGGAGAACATGTCCCTGCCTAAAGTCATTTTGATTCAATTTTTAAAGTTATATTGACCAGCTAAAAACTGTATATGGATAGGGCCATGACTAGCCTATACAGAGCTTTTGTGCCAGTTAGAAAAAATGTGTTTCTTTCTCATTTTATTTCCTTCTTTTAGAAAATCGTCTTACTATTTCTTTTTAAAAACAAGGCATTTTACTGTCCTGGAAATGGGTGATAAATCTGCAACACTGGTGGCCCTATGGTTGGCAGGGTCCTATGATTTGTAGGACCCTATGGATGGACTGGATTCACAGCCCTATGGTAGTAGCCCTATGGATGGACTGGATTCAGCCCTCTGGAGCTCAGGTTACAACCCTTGTGACTATAAACCTGTTTCTGAATGTAAAGCTGATGAAATTAGGAGAGAAAAGTATTTGTCTAACATTTTCAGAGAGCAAAATCATAGTGTTCAGGCCAGGAAGACCCCAGGAACATGGGAGGCACAGCGTCTACCCTCAGGGAGGTTTGGGGCTGGAGGAGGAAGCAGGTGAGTTCACAGGGCATCATGGCACTCGAGGTGTCAGGAGAGAATTCATCTGTGGTATATGTATTCAGGGCAGACAGCAGGTCAGTTCTACCTAAAGAGGAGTGGGGGGACAGATTTAATAGAGGAGGTGAGGCTTGGAGAGAAAACCTTGAGTGTGACAACCTTCACATTGTGGCATCCTCTCTCCTGGGAAGTGAGACTTTCAGTAGAGGAGGGCCCTTTGGGCTGAGCTCAGAACCACACACATTCCATTTTGCCTAGCCCTTTGTAGCATCAGTTTTTCATGCTGGAGAGCTGGAAACAAGAGGAAAGGCAGACTATTTGTTTTAAAGCCCGTCTTCCAAGTCATATTGAATGTTCTTAGGCCTCCCACATGGTAGATTGAGGCTGACTCAGGGCCATAGACTGGGCAGAGATCACTGGCACAGCCTGTACTGCAGCTCTTTAGCTGCCCTCACCTAAACCTCTTGACTTGGTCCCTTAATCCT